TACTTCCATCATTTTACTTTTTATCCAATCCCAGGAGTTTCCCACCGCTTTGCTTTCTCCCGCCTCCTTACTCCATCACCCATGAATTTCATGTAACCCACCTATGTCCCTCCTTTGATTTCGGTGTATAAATAGAGAAATGTAACCCGCCATTCTTCGGAGCATTATGTCAATCCCTTGAGGTTCTGCTTCCTGGCAATTGTCAACAGTTCTGGCTCAAATAAACTCATTAAAAAATTCTTTACAGGTTTCAATGATTTTTTTTCGTTAACACCGTAAATGTCAAGAATAGTTTATCTTCAACAGAGAACTTTCTGTTGTGCAGCTGTGTCCCAACCGCAGGATGTTCGATAAGCAGAGCTTGAGTAATAGCTGTCATGGGTTGTGGAAACAATGTATCTTAGTCCCTCCAGGTGCATGCCTGGGAGTACAGTTTCCCACATGGAGTCAGAGCTGCCACCCATTGAAACTGCCTTTGAGGTCTTCTCAAACCTTTGGAATATTCAAACTTGCAAAATAACATTTGGACTGGGCCTAAAATAGCACTGTATCTCAAACAATTCTTAACAACAACAACAACACAACCCAAAACAACAACAAAGAAAGCTGATATAATGACTCCTGACTGAAAATTAAAGGAATTCTTTAGAATTAGCATCACTATGTTATTGTGTCTGCACCTATAGCAGTCCCTTGCTTCTATCTATACATTTGTTCCTATTACTTTCTCAAATACTCCTTGCCATAAACTCCTACTAAGAACATGAAGTGTCTTCCTGAATCCATCAGTGCTTCCAGAATAGCCTTTGGATCCCAAAAAATGCTTTTTGCTCCTCACTTGGAGCGTTTATTTTTAGGTTAACACTGGTGAGTTGACATAGGCTTGTATTCATTAGGTTTTCTGGTATTTTTTTCTTTAAGTTTCATAATTTCCATGTATGGATTGCCACTCAAAATGACTCCTGGCATATTTGTGTCTCCCTTTTTACTAAAGTTCTTAAACACAATTTTCTTTCTAAAACAATATAAAATATATAATATTTACAATAAGGCCTGCAATTCATGCTAATTATAGCAGTTATAATTAATCATAATAAAGCTGATTTTCTCTATGACTATCTCCATGTGGCCTGTAATTTTCTTGATTTAACAGTGTAGTTAATTATATTTACCACTGATTGCTTGCCTATATCTCAATTGAGTTATTTTTTAAAATTTTTTTATTGTTTAAAGTATTCTGTGTATCTCCATTTCCCCCAGTGACATCTCCCTAGCCCATGCCCTCATCCCCCTACTGTCTGTGCCCATTGGTTATACTTATATGCATATATACAAGTCCTTTGGTTGATCTGTTACCCTGCCCCCCATCTCCTACCTTCCCTCTGAGGTCGGCCAGTCTGTTCGATGCTTCTGTGTCTCTGGATCTATTTTTGTTTATCAGATTATGTTGTTCCACAAATGAGTGAGACCATGTAATTTTATCTTTCTCTGACTGGCTTATTTCACTTAGCATAATGTTCTCCAGGTCCATCCATGCTGTTGCGAATGGTCAGAGTTCCTTCTTTTTTTTTACAGCAGCATACTATTCTACTGTGTGGATGTAACAATGTTTTATAATCCAGTCATCTGCTGATGGGAACTTAAATTGTTTCCAAATCTTAGCTATTGTAAATTGTGCTGCTATGAACATAGGGGTGCATATATCCTTTCGGATTGGTGTTTCTGTTTTCTTGGGATATAGTCCCAGAAGTGGGATTAGTGGGTCAAATGGAAGTTCCATTTTTAATGTTTTGAGGAAATGCCACACTGTTCTCCGCAGTGGCTGCACCAGTCTGCATTCCCACCAGCAGTACGAGAGGGTTTCTTTTTCTTCCCATCCTCACCAGCACTTGCCGTTTGTTGATTTGTTGATCATAGCCATTCTGACAGGTATGAGATGGTACCTCATTGTTGTTTTGATTTGTATCTCTCAGGTGATTAATGACTTTGAGCATGTTTTTATGTCCCTTGGCCTTTTGCATATCCTCTTTCAAAAAGTGTCTATTTAGGTCCTTTGCCCATTTTTTGATTGGATTGTTTTTCTTTTCTTTTGTTAAGTTGTATGAGTTCCCTATAAATTTTGGAGATTAAACACTTATCAGAGATAACATGGGCAAATATGTTCTCCCATGTAGTTGGCTTTCTTGTTGTTTTGTTGATGGTTTCTTTTACTATGCAGAAGCTTCTGATTTTAATGTAGTCCTGTTAGTTTATTTTCTCCTTAGTTCCCATTGCCCTAGGAGTGGTGTCAGTAAAGATATTGCTTTGATAAATTCCTGATATTTTGCTGCCTATGGATTTTTCTAAGATTTTTATGGTTTCCCACCTTACATTTAAGTCCTTTATCCATTTTAAGTTTATTTTTGTGTCTGGTATAAGATGATGGTCTAGTTTCATTTTTTTTTTTTTTTTGCATGTATCTGACCAGTTTTCCCAGCACCATTTATTGAAGATACTGTCTTGCCTCCACTGTGTACTCTTGCCTCCTTTGTCAAATAGTAAGTGAACATTATGGCTTATGTCAATTTCTGGGTTCTGTGTTCTCTTCTATTGGTCTATATGTCTGTTCTTGTGCCAGTACCAGTGGTTTTGCAGTATAGTTTGATATTTGGCATTATGATCCCTCCAACTTTGCTCTTCTTTCTCAAGGTTGCTGCAGCTATTCAGGGTCTTTGTCAGGTGCATTCACCTTAAAGATTGTTATAGCTTCTTGGGATATTCACTCCTTTATCATTATGGAATGCCTGTCTTTATCCCTGATAGGTTTCTTGCTCTGAACTCTGCTTTGTGTAAAATTACTATAGCTATAAACTTTTAATAATTAGATATAGCTAATTATTATTTATAATTTGCTATAACTAATTATTATAGCTTATTGTTTTTTTAAAACTATTTTTAGAGCATTTATGTTTACAAGAAAAATGAGAAATACAGAGTGTTCCCATGTGCCGCTTGCCCCACACATGCATAACCCCTCCCTTTATCAACAGCACTCACCAGAATGCTATATTTTTTCACCAAGGATGAATCTATATGGACATGTCATAAGGATCCAAAGTCCATAGTTTACATTAGGCTTCACTCTTAATGTTATATAAGTTAGTTTGGACAAATGTTTAATGACATGTACCCAAATTTATAATATCATACAGAGTATTTGCACTGCACTAAAAATCATCTGTGCTCTGCTAGTTCATCTCCTCACACCTCACCATGCAACCATTGATCTCTTTTCTTGCCTCTTCCGAAATTTTATATCATTGAATGATACAGTATGAAGTTTAATGCTTCAGTGTTGTTGGTTGTAGCAGTCTGTTCAATTTTTTTCTTGATTCAGTTTTAAAAGATAGTATGTTTCTAGGAATTTCTTTCTTTCAGTTTATTGCACAAACACTAATTTTTAATAGAGCGACCCAATGCTGCTTTCTTAGAAAGGAATTTAATTCCAATTGCCGATTCACCAATCTTAGCCCCTTTAAATAGTTCAAGGCAAAATAGAACATTATTTGCTTTGATTCTATTAGTGTATGATTTTATATTCAATCAATACTAGTTACTGTCTTCTTTATTTCTACTGGTTACAATACTTTTTGAGTAGACTCAAATATCCTAAATCTATTTGTACATCTAACCTGAACCTATTCAGAGTTTGGCTTTTGTTACAATTTACCATTTTTCCTATGAATATTTGTCTTATTTTATATTTTGATGTATTGTTCTTTTCTGATTTTGCCACTACCATGCAGCGGGTTGCCAGCAGCAATCTAGAAATATATATGGCACAGAGGAATGGAAAAAAGCAAAGAAAATGGGTCACAGGGTTGCAAATGGTCAAGATGATTGCATGATTAGGAGAGCCTGTATTGGAGATGAGCAAGGAATCAGGAGTCTTTAACTTCCTTTTTTCTATTTATAGCTAAGGAGAATGTTTTCTTTTCCTGGACCACCAAGTAATCCAATCGTGGGTTGTTTTTCTTTGTTTCTGAAGAAAACTAAAAACAGATGATGATGTTAACAATCACTCTTCTACTCCTCTTATGGTTTGTTGCCTCTCAAATCAATTTTCCAAGTTTTCATTCCTATTCTCAATGTCACTTTATCATTATCTGTAGAACTTTTCTATTACTTAAATCAAGTTGAGTGGAAACCACATTGGGTTCAATATTCCTATATTCATAGCAGATATTTTGTGTTCAAGACTGATCATGTGAGAATGTGATGTTAGTAGAAAGAAAGGTCTACATTTCAGATTAACAACAAGGAATTCAGGAAGCCTGCCTCTGATGTTATATAACTTCTAATTGCATCTAATCCAGCAGATTATAAATATCACTGACTTCTGCCTAATATTGGTCTTGATGCAATAAAAATATTAGTCAATGCAACTAGATTCCAGAATCTCCCATTTTGCCACCATGTTCCTATAAAATGTCCATAGGCCTTTTTTGTAATTTTCCATATTTAATGATGATCAAATCATATCCATTTAATTAGACTTTTGCTCATTTCTTAAGATACTGTGCAAAATGTAAAGGTTGGTTAGGGAGCACTTAATTTAATTAAGGCCTGTAAATAATTGCTGTTAGGGCATACGAAATTTTTCCTTTCCCATGTCAAAATGGATAAGGAATTAGGGAAAGACATTTCATACCAGTAACAGAACAAATGATTTGAATATTCTTGTCTAAATTTTCATGAGTAGTTTTGGGTATGTTTCTCAATTTCCTCTTTTATTCTTCCCTGTATTGAAAAAAATATCAGAATCTTTCATCTAAACCACAACTTCTTCTTTGAGAGACCCTTTATTTTGAAAGTCTCTTAGCCCCATCTGTGTATTTAACTGTTTGTTTCTGTGCTCTGACCTATTTGAATGAAGGCAGGTCTTCGGATAACACCTTCTGTAAGAGAGATCCAAGAGGCTCCAGGAGCTTTTGAACACAGGGAGTCCTCTGACTCACACAATGATGCAAGAAGGGCAACCTCAAAACAGAGGTGAGCATTCCTTTATCCCTTCCAAGGAGGAAAGAAGTATATGATGAGATTATGAGTCATCTGGAGAAGAGGCAGGTAACAGACAGATTGATGAGATAAAGTTTGGACTAACATCATAGATTTTTGAGAAGTTGAAAGAAATAAAAATTCCTCAGAGCTAGAAGTACTTGAAAGAATAAGAAACCAAATATTAATACAGTATTATGAGAATTAAAAGAGAGAAAAATGATGTTTTAAGAAATGTGGGGAAATCAATGGATAAATGTAGTATTTAATAAGAAAGAATAATAAAATGAAAATTACAGTTGGTTGAGGTTGAGTTTTGCCTAGCTTGCTTAGGACTTCTGAGCTTCTGGTTATACATTCTGAGGGATTTTTTTGCTTCAAGTTTAATTACTCTGAGGTCCTTTGGTTTTCTTATGCTGTAACTTCCAGAAATGCTGGCCTCGTGTCTCCTTGGTAATTGCATTTGTCTTGCCTCTCTGACAGAAAACGGAATATGGTGGTTTCAAGTGAGGGCCTGGTCTGTTGCTGTGATTTCCATAGCATTCCTCTGTGCATGCTTTACTGTGAGCCGTGTGGGTAAGTTCTTCACTGAGGTGCCACTTCTCTTGATTGCTTTCCCTTTCATGTTTCATAGAGATTTATTAGGGTGTGTTTGCCTTTTCTCCATTGATATGTTAGCTTTTACTTAGAATGCCATGCTTTTTTTTTTCTTAAAAAACAACAAACCAACAACTTTTAACTTTTTTTTAATTGAATTTCTTTGGGTGACTGTTAATTAAATCTTATAGGTTTCAAGTATACAATGTAATAAAATACCATCTGCATACTGCATACTGCAAAGTAAAGTCTCTTTCCATCCCCATTGATCTTCTATTGGCCCACTTATCCCTCTCTTAACCATAGCGTTGTCTGTGTCATGTGTTATATATATAGCTTTTTTGCTTAATCCTTTCAATTTTTCACCTACACCCTCATCACCTCCCCCCTGACAGCTGTTCCATAGTCCTATGCTTCTGTTTCTATTTTGTTTATAACTTACTTTGTTTATCAGATTTCACATATAAGTGAGATCATATGGTGTTTGTCTTTCTCTGATATGCTTATTTCACTTAGCATAATAATCTTCAGGTCCTCCCTGCTGTCACAAATGGTAAATTTTCTGCCTTTTTATAGTTGAGTTGTATTCAGTAGTGTAAATGTACCACAGCTTTTTTTGTTCACTCATATACTTATGGGCACTTGGGGTGTCTCCAGATATTGGATATTGTAAATAACACTGCAACAAACATAGGGGTGCATATATTCTTTCAAATTAGATATATTTCTTCACATATATTCCAAGTGGTATCACTGAGTCAAGAGGTAGTTCCTTTTTTAAATTTTTGAAATAACTACATACTGTTTTCCACAATGACTATACCAGTCTGCATTCCCACTAACAATGTGCTAGGGTTCCCTTTTCTCCACATTACTGCCAGCAATTGTTATTTGTTGATTTATAGATGAAAGCCATTCTGACAGACATGAGGTGATATCTCATTGTCATTTTAATCTTCATCTCTCTGATGATCAGTGACATTAAACATCTTTTCATGTTTATTGGCCATTGTATGTCCTCCTTGGAGAAAGTTCTATTCAGGTCCTTTGCCCATTTTTAATTGGGTTTTTGGTGTTGAGTTGTATATATTCTTTATATATTTTGGAAGTTAACCCCTTATCAGCTGTATCATTGGAGAATTTATTTTTTCATACAGTGGGGTCCCTTTTCATTTTGTTGTAGAAGGTTTTCTGTGTAGAAGGTTTTTAGTTTGAGGTAGTCCCATTTCTTTATTTTTTCCTTTGTTTCCCTTGTCCCAGGAGATATGTCAGAAAAAATATTGCTGTGTAAGATGTCTGAGACTTTACTACTTATGTTTTCTTCTAGGATTTTAATGGTTTCACGACCTATATTTAACTCTTTAATCCATTTTGAGTTTATTTTTTTGTATGGTGTAGGCTGGTGGTCAAATTTTTTTTTCTTTTTTCATGTATTTATCCAATTTCCCCAGCACCATTTATTAAAGAGACTATCTTTATCCATTGTATATTCTTGCCTCCTTAATAAGATATTAATCAGTCATGCATGGGTTTATACCTGGGCCTCCTCCTCTTTCTTAATCCTCACCCAAGAATATATTTTCCATTGATTTTTAGAGAGAGGGAAAGACAGAGAGAAATATCAATGTGAGAGAAACACGTCAGTTGGTTGTTTCTGCAGCTGAGGCCCAGGAAAGGAAGAGCCTGCAAGCGAGGTACATGCCCTTGACCGGAATCAAACCTGGGACATTCAGTCCCCAGGCTGATGCTCTATCCACTGAGCCAAACTGGCTGATGCTCTATCCAGTGAGCCAAACCAGCTAGGGCTGAGCTCTCTGTTTCGTTCCATTAATTTATATGCTTGTTCCTTTGCCAATACCATGCTGTTTTGATTACTTATGACCTTATAGTACAGTTTCATATTAGATATTGTGTTACCTCCAACTTTGTTTCTCTTAAGCTTGCTAAAGCTATTCAAGGTCTTTTGTGGTTCCATATAAAATTTTAGAATATTTGTTTTAGATTTGTGAGATATGCCATTGGTATTTTAATAAGAATTACATTTAATCTATTGATTGATTTAAGCAGTATGGACATTTTAATGATGTTAATTCTGTTTATCCATCAATACGGTATATTCTTCTACTTGTTTCTTCTTCAGTTTTTTTCCTTCAGTATCTTATAATTTTTCTCATACAGATCTTTTACCTCCTTGATTAAAGTTATTCTTAGGAACCTTATTTTTTATTTTTTTATTTTTTGGTGGTGGTGGTGGGGTGTTTGTTGCAATAGCAAATGGAATTGTTTCTTAATTCCTCTTTCTGATAGTTCATTACTGGGGTATAAAATGCCACCAATTTCTGAATATTAAATTTGTATCCTGCTACTTTGCTGAATTCATTTATTATATCTAGTGTTCTTTTGTTTATTGGTTTGTTTTGTTTTGGTGGAGGCTTAGGGTTTTCTATATACAATATTATGTCATCTGTGAATAATGACAGTTTTTCTTTCTCTTTTCCAATATTCATGCCTTTTATTACTTTTTATCTGGTTAGGACTTCTAGTGCTATCCTATATAATGAAAGGCTAATATCCAAATCGACCAACAGCAGAACAACTGCTTGCTATGACACATACTGATTATGAGGGGGCAGCTGCTCAACACAGGAACTGCCCCCTTGTGGTCATCGAAGCGCTGCTCAGCCAGAAGCCCTGAGCCAGGTTCATGGCTGGTGAGGGCAGTGGTGGTGGCAGAAGTCTTTTCCACCTCCGTAGCAGCGCTAAGAATGTCCAATTGTCAGTTTAGGCCATGAGGAGTGGACCTAAATTGGCAGTTGTACATCCCCCAAGGGCTCCTGGACTGTGAGAGGGTGCAGGCTGGGCTGAGGAACCCTCCCCCTGACTCTGATTGCAGGAATTTCATGCACCGGGCCTCAGTGTTGAATTAGGGTGGTGAAAGCTGATATTCCCATTTTGTTCTTGACTTTAAAGAAAACACTTCTAGTTTTTCCTTGTTGTGTATAATGTTGGCAGTGGGTTTGTCATATTTTGCCTTTATTATGTTAAGGTATGATCCCTCTATTCCCACTTTGCTGTGAATTTTTATCCTCAATGCATGATGGATTTTATCATGTGCTTTTACTGTCTGTATTGAAATGATCATGTGAATTATATCCCTCATTTTGTTTATATTATATATCATGTTTATTGATTTGTGAATATTATACTAACCTTTCATCCTAGAATTAATCCCACTTGATTACAATGCATGATCTTTTCAGTGTAGTGCTAGATTCAGTTTGTTAATATTTTGTTGACGATTTTAGCATCAACGTTCATCAGGGATATTTGCCTTGTTTTTAATTATTTTTTTTAAGTATTGGAAAGGAAGAGATGAAACTTCTCTTTATTTTACATGATCTGATTGTCAATATAAAAGAAATCCAAGAAAATCTGTGAGTAAATAACTAGAACTGATAAAAAGATCGGTCATGTAGTGAAATACAAATCCATATTCTAAAATCTATAACATTTTTATACAATTCATGCCTTTCTTGATTATTAACTTTTCTTCCAGATTTATTTCATTTGGTTTTATTAGCATTTTCTCCATGATAACTTCATATTTGAATGTGTGTTAGTAGTAGCCATACTCTAAGACCCTATCCATCACTACTGGGTTCCATAGTGGTCAAGTGTTCTCTAGTGACAAAGTCCTCTATTGAGAATGTAACTATAATTTGTTTGACAATCATGGTACTTTAGAGTATGGTTTTTGATTTTCGTGTGAAAGTCTTTTCCAAAATGAGAAAAAGTATTCAAATGAAATAATAGAGATGTAGAGGAATACAATATTTATTTACTGTTTTGTTTCCAAATAAATATTTCAGGTGTACTTTGTGAGAAATCTCAAATACTTTTTTCTTTCTAATGTACAGTTTGCTTCTCTATTCACTGATAAGGTGATTAAAAATAGATATTGTATAGCCTGGAACGGAAACTGATTTTATGTCAAATGGGCCCATTTGAAGTTTCTTTGAGATAAAGAAATCTCATAGTGTTTATTAAAACACAAATAATTATCACCGAAGTTAAAACCTGCTTTATTTTTATGGTCAAGAGCAAGAGAGGAAGAGGCTCAAGAAAAGATATTTTATTTTTATCAAGAGAAAGCAGATATTCCTGTCTCCTGGACATAGACTAAGAGGAAGGTAGAAAGGTTTCCCAGTAGTGAGCTTCAGAAGTAGAAGGTCAAGGCAGAAATGAGTCAAGAATAAATGCAGGGTCCAAGAGAGAAGAGGTCTTTTTTATTATTATTAATTTATTTTTGTTGATTCCAGAGAAGAAGTAGGAAGAAGAGAGAGAGAGAGAGAGAGAGAGAGAGAGAGAGAGAGAGAGAGAGAGAGAGATTAATGATGAGAGAGAATCATTGATTGGCTGACTCCTGCATGACCCACACTGGGGACTGAGCCTGCAACTCGGGCCTGTGCCCTGCGGGGAATAGAACCATGACCTCCTGTTCCATAGGTCGATGCTCAACCACTGAGCCATGCTGGCCAGGTGGGAGAACAGGTTTTGCTCAATATGCACACCCTTGACCATATAACTTAATGCTCGTTTAAGATATTTAAAATGTTGCTGTTTAAAGGTCCCCCTAGGTTTCTATTTACCACTTATGTTTATCTACCAGAATTCAGAAATTTTAGAAAATATCAAAATAACCTCCAAACTTGCCTCAAGATTATTAAAATTAAGGAGAAGTAGACAGCCAATTGGCCAACAAATATCTATAGGTCATTATGATGGTCACTGTCCTAGGTGCTTTTAATTCACTGATATAGAAAAGAATTAGAATATCTGTCTTAGAATACAGACTTTAAATTTCAATGAGGGAAGAGCAAATATAATGTGTAGGCTTATGTAACAACTGAATATAAGAAACCTGTAATTTAGCACTGCCTTTACTGGGCTTTCATAGAGAGAAGACCGTGATGGTGTTGGAAATAAGCCCACTTTGATGGAATTTAAGCTCTATAGTAAAAGAATGGATGGATACTAATCTTTCTTTCTTCACAGTGAATTTTCATTTTATACATTGCAAAATTGACAAAAGGCTGTCTGAACTACGCACATACAATTCAGGTTTAAACTGCTTTATTGAAGTAACGAGCATGACAGGTAAGGTGTTGCAATTATTATTATTTTTTTAACAATATATTTCATTGATTTTTTTTTTATCCTGGAGGAAGGGAGAGGGATAGAGAGTTAGAAACATTGATGAGAGAGAAACATCAACCAACTGCCTTCTGCACATTTCCCACTGGATATGTGCCCATAATCAAGGTACATGCCCTTGACTGGATTTGAACCTGGGACCCTTAGTCCATAGGTGGATGCTCTATCCACTGAGCCAAACTGCCTAAGGCCCAATTATTTAAAAAAATGGATTTTAGGCAAAGGGAGGGAGGTAAAGAGGGAGAGAGAGAAGGAAAGAGGGAGGGAGGGAGGAAGGGGAAGAGGAAGAAACAGAGAAAAACATCAATGTGAGAAACATTGACTGATTGCTTCCTGCACACTCCCCAACCAGAGATGAAACCCACAACCTGAGTATATGCCTTGACTGGGAATCAAACTCACAATCTTTTTGTGTACCAGATAACATTCCAACAAACTGAGCCATACTGGCCAGGGTATGCACTGTAATTCTCAACCAGACTGTCCTGTTTCTCAGAGGCCGAGGAGGGGGGGAGAGAGAGAGCTCAAGATTGGTTTATTCTAGTTTTTTAAAAAATATATCTCAACTTACATGCTCATATCAGACTAGATTTTCCCTAAAAAACAATTCCTTTTCCAGACTTCCAGACAAATGCTACCAACATCCACAAAATTTGCTCAAGCCTCATGTGGAAATATTTCATAAAAATTCTGCTTTCAAATTATTCTTACTTTTATAAAATTTAAAAATTATCTTTTGGTATTTAATGTTTCTATTTAATAATATTTATCTACATCCCAAGTAACCATTTTATTACTGGCCAATTTTGATGTTGGACCATGAATCAGGATGAGACTGTCCTCACTTTAAAACTGTGTAAATGTACATAGCTGTTTTATCCACTTTACTGATGGACCCTTGGGCTGCTTCCAGATATTGGCTAATGCTGCAATGAACATAGAGGTGCATCTATTGTTTTGAATTAGTGTTTTGGGTTTCTTTAGATAAATTCCCAGAAGTGGAGTTGCTGGGTCATGAGGCAGATCCATTTTTTTCTTGTTTTGTTTTGCTGGTTTGTTTGTTTTAACAGTATTTCTTTTTTTAAAAATATAATAACTCTTTATTGTTCAGATTATTACAATTGTTTCTCCTCCCCCCCCTAGCTTCCTTCCACCTGGTTCCCGTCCCACCCTCTGCCCTTACCTTCCCTCCACTGTCCTCATCCATAGGTATACAATTTTTGTCCAGTGTCTTCTTGCACCCCACAGCCAGCTTCCCCCTGAGAATTATCCATGCACTCCATTCTATGCTCCTGATTCTATTATATTCACCAGTTAATTCTGTTCCTCAGATTTTTAATTCACTTTATTTTTAGATTCACCTGTTGATAGATATGTATTTGTTCTTCATAATCTTTATGTTTACTTTTTTTCTTCTTCCTTTTCTTAAAGAACACCTTTCAGCATTTTATATAATCCTGGTTTGGTGGTAATGAACTCCTTTAGCTTTTTCTTATCTGTGAAGCTCTTTACCTGACCTTCAATTCTGAATGATAACTTTGCTGGGTAGAGTAATCTTGGTTGTAGATTCTTGCTATTTATCACTTTGAATATTTCTTGCCATTTCCATCTGGCCTGCATTGTTTCTGTTGAGAAATTAGCTGACAATCGTATGGGTGCTGCCTTGTAGGTAATTAATTGTTTTTCTCTTCCTGCTTTTAATATTCTCTCTTTGTCTTTTGCTCCTGGCATTTTAATTATGATATGTCTTGGTGTGGTCCTCTATAGATTCCTTTTGTTTGGGGTGCTTTGTATACTTTCTGGACTTGTAAGTCTATTTCTTTTACAAGGTGGGGAAAGTTTTCAGTCACTGTTTCTTCAAATATGTTTTTGATATCTTGCTGTCTCTGTTTTTCAGGCACTCCCATAAATCTGATGTTGGTATGCTTAAAGTTGTCCCAGAGGCTTCTTATAATATTTTCAACTTTTGGATTCTTTTTTCTTTTTTCTTTCCCAGTAAGTGTTTTTTTTCCTCCTTGTATTTCAAATCTTTTAGTTGATTCTTGCATTCTTCTAGTCTGCTGTTGGGTCTCTATAATATTTTTTTATTTCAGTCAGTGTATGTTTAATTTCTAATTGGTCTTTTTTTTTTTTTATATCCTTGAGGGTCTCATTAAATTTATTGGTCTTTTCTAAGAAATTATTGAAAAACCTAATAACAGTGGTTTTGAACTCTATCCAGTCATTTGTTTTCTCCATTTCTTGAGTTTGTGATCTGTTTTTTTGTTTTTCCCCCCCTCTGCATTTTCACTGGTTCCCTTAGCTGGTAGGGTGGCTTTGTGTGCTAGATGTCCTACATGGCCCAGTGGGTTGGCCTCCCAGTTACCTGAGGTGGACACTCTTGGTGCATCCCTTTGTGGACTGTGTGTACAACCTTGTTGTAGTTAAGTCTTGATTTTTGTTGGTGCCACTGGGAGGAATTGCCCTCTAGGCCAATTGACCGTGAGGAACTGCTGTGTCTATGATGGGAGAACAACTGTGTTAGAGACACCCTAATGAGGCAAGACTTGCTTCAGTGGGGCTTTGGTGCTCACTGAGTCTGTCCCCTGAGTATATCCCTTATGGATGTGAGTTGAAATCTGGTGTTGTCTCACACTGACCACTAGATATACTAGCTTCTGGATCTCCAATGGGGTGCAGGTCAGCTACTGTCTGAGGCCACCAGCAGGAGCTACAGTGAAAATTACAGTTTTCCCCCTCTTTGCTTGGGGTTTTGGAACTGTCTGACCAGAGCTTCAGTTTGTTATGTTAAGCTGCAATAGGGCAGGCCATTTATATACAAAAGCCGCTGAGTGGAGCTTGGGAGGGTTTGTAGATTGTACAGGGTGGGGTCTCAGGGAGTCACTAGGCTAGGGCATGGCAAATAGTGATGGCTGCCAGTCAGCCATCTCTGCATCTTTGCATTTCCAAATCCCCACATCCCGAGCTCCAGCGCAGTAAACAATGATTGCTGGGCGCAGCTCTGCAAGAAAGCCACTCTCACTTTCTGACCCGATGGCAGACAGTCCAGCTTCTCCCAATAGGAGTTTGGGTCCCCAGCATGTCTCCAGAAAATGGAATTCAGAGTAATTAGGAATTTGTTTCCCTTCAGGTTGAAAAGAGCAGCAGATCCAATTCCCCGCTGCTAGCCTGATTCGCGTGCCTTTGTACCTCCGCTTTTCAGTGCTTGTGCACATCTCAGTGCTCTTTTCTCTTTCCTTCTAGTTGTAGAACTTCCACTCAGCCAACTTTCCTGTGGTTCTGGGTGATAGATGTCTTGCCTTTTAGTTGTAGTTTTGAAATTGTTGTGCAAGGCATCAGTTTAGGTGTTTAACTTTGCCCCCATCTTGGTTTCCCCTTTCCTTTCCTTTTTTAATTTTTATTTTATTTTATTTTATTTTATTTTTACATCACTACTGAATTAAGCATGCATGCTGTTCAATTTGACTTTTAAAAACATATTAATGTATGGCATGATATGCATTTTGATGTTTCTGATTTCTCTTTTCACCATTTTACCTCAGATTTATCTTTGTTGTGTGGAAGTTGTTTATTTTATTTAGGCTTGGGAAGGGGTTCTTCCAGCATCTCTCCAAGCTTAAAGCCTCCACCACAGGCTTTAGGCTTGGGAAGCAGTTCCCCCAGCACCTCCAATCGCAGGCTTGGCCTCTTCCGTAGCCTCTGCCTGATGGCTGGTTGTGAGTGACCTGGGTGCAGAGAAGGTTCCCCAGAACCAGATCTGTATGCACATTAACCATCATCTCTGTTGGGTTAATTTGCATACTCACTCTGATTGACTGTGGGCGTAGCAAAGGTAGGGTCAATTTACATGTTTCTCTATTAGGTATGATAATTAATCCTATTCACTATCCTGTATTTTATATCCACAGGATAATTTTATAACTTTATTTATAATACTTAATTCCTTCATCTTTTCCACTAGCCCTCTCCATGCCCCTCCACCTACCCCCACCAGTCCCCTTCCCTTCTGGTAACTTCCAGTCTGTTCTTTATAGCCATGAGTAAGTTTCTATTTTTATTATTATTATTATTTTGTTCTTTAGATACCACATGTAAATGAAATCATATGGTATTTGTCTTTCCTAGTCTGACTTGGTTTTCATGAGGTTCCCCTTGATCTCAATTGTATTATACACTTCATAAATTACTTTTCTTATATTGCACCTATATGGTCTTCTGTTAATACAGAGAAAGATTGGATCTGCTGCCCAAAGAATTGGGAGCCATTTAGTTTGAACTGCTACTTTATTTCTAATGATACCAGAAACTGGACAGAGAGTCAAAACAACTGCACAGCAATGAAGTCTCACCTGCTGGTGATCAACACCAAGGAAGAGCAGGTATGTTCTAACAGATAATGAAGCAAGCAATCCTGCCTGGGTTTTGTACACCTATCCTGGCTAAGGAGGATGCTTTCATTGTGTTAGCATGTTGGTGCTGTGGTAAAAGGTTTTCAATGAAATAGGAAAGGCTACTTAAGCCTTTACATTTCACACCTTCTTCCAGCTTCCATAAAACTAAACTCCCTCCAAATAAATGAAGGCATTTAAAATAAAATATGTGGGACAAACCAAGATGGTGACACCCAAATGCAGCCTACCACAACAAATTTGAATTTAGAACTGGAAAACAGGGGAAACATTGCCCTGAAGCATGGGATGGCTGCCCGAGAGGAGGCTCTGCCATCTGGAAAGGAGAGAGAAGCCATACTGAACCTCAGGAACTGTGAAGGTGCGGTGAACTGCATGCGCAAAAAGGCTGCCACCAGACTTCGCTGCTGGCTTGCTTGCGGAGCACGGATAGGGCGGGCCAGGTTCGCTGCTGGCTTACTCCTGGTGTGCTGAGAGGGTGGACAGCTAATGCAAGGCTAGCTTTCTTGTTCGGGAGGAAAACAGTACCACCCTATTGCTCTGATAGATGGCCCCAGACAGGAAGAGGCCAGACTGTCAGGCAGCTGATCTCTCAGAGGTGGGAGAAGCCAGCAGCCATTACTGTGGGACTCAGAAACCAGACCCTTAGGGAGGGGCTGACCAAAGCTTGTCTGCACCACCCCAAGATTCCGCCCCATCCAAGCGGAGCACAGAAGCCCTTCCAGTGGCTAGCTCTCTTGTTCATTGCAAATAAGACTCTCCCAGAGAGGGACAGACAGGAATCCAAAGCTTGTCTGCCCCTATACCAAAGAGGTGCGCGCACCGGCAACCAATCCTGCGGGATTCACCAAAGCTTTTCTGTTCTACCCCAAGACTCAGCCCCAACAAAGCGGAATACAGAAACCCTCCTAGCTTAGACACTTCTGATCCTCATAGCCAACTGACTTGGAGATCAAAGCTTCCCAGTGATACCAACAACAAACAAGGCTTAACAACAAGACTGCATACACAGTCCACAAAGAGCTATACCAAGACTGTCCACCTCAGGTAACTGGGAGACTGACCAACTGAACCATATAGGACACCTTAGCACACAAAGCCACCCTACCAAATCAGGGAAGCTGTGAAAATGCTGAGTCAAGGAAACAGATCACAAACAAAAGAAATGGAGGACAAGAAACGACTGGATATAGAGTTCAAAACCACACTTATAAGGTTTTTCAAGAATTTCCTAGAAAAGGCTGATAAAATAAATGAGACCTATGAGGATATGAAAAGGGATCAACTAGAAATAAAGAATACATTGTCTGAAATAAAAAAATATTATAGAGTCCTAAAAACAAAATGGAAGATTGCAAGAATCAAGTCAAAGATTTGGAACACAAAGAGCCAGAGGATTCTCCTCCATAGAAGCAAGAAGATAAGAGAATCCAGAAAGTTGAAGGTAGTGTAAGAAACCTCTGGGACAATTTCAAAAAGCCAACATCAGAATTATGGGGGTCCCAGAAGAAGAGAGAGAGCAAGATACCGAAAGAATACTGGAAGAAATAGTGATAGAGAACTTCCCCCACCTGGGGAAAGAAATAGACTTACAAGTCCAGGAAGTGCACAGAACCCCAAACAAAAGGAACCCAAAGAGGACCACACCAAGACACATCATAATTAAAATTCCAAAAGCAAAAGACAAAGAGAGAATATTAAAAGCAGCAAGAGAAAAGGAGGTAGTTACCTATAAAGGAGCATCCATAAGATTGCCAGCTGATTTCTCAACAGAAACCATGCAGGCAAGACGGGAATGGCAAGAAATGTTCAAGGTGAGGAATAGCAAGAACCTATAGCCAAAAATACTATATCCAACAAAGCTATCACTCTGAATCGAAGGTCAGATAAAGAGCTTCACAAATAAAAAAAAGCTAAAGGAGTTCATCACCGCCAAACCAGAATCATATGAATTGTTATGTTCTTTAGGAAGAGGAAGAAGATATAGATAAAAATTATGATCAACAAATATGTAACTATCAACAAGTGAAACTAAAAGCCAAGGGAATTAAAAAACCAGATGAACAATATTAACTGGTAAATATAATAGAATCACAGGTATGGAAGGGGAGTGGACTGACGATTCTCAGAGAAAAGGAGAGTGGGGGGTGCGGGAAGAGCCTGAAGAAAACTGTGCACCTATGGATTAGGACAATGGGGAATGGGGAAAAGGCAAAGGGTGGGGTGGGAACCTGGTGGAGGGGAGCAATGGAGGGGAAAAAATGAGGAACATTTGTAATAATATGAGCAATAAAGATTTATTTAAAAAAATAAAATATATGGGAGTTGAGCCGAGAGATAAAAGTATTTCAGCCTGAAATATCAGTTTATTATTTTAACATAAAAACGTTTTATAAATTATACATATGTATATAATATTGTATGTATATAATTGATTTAAGAAAAAGGAAGAGGGAGGGAAAGAGAGATAGAAATATCAATGAAGAGATAGAATTACTGATTGGCTGCCTTTTGTATGTCACACACTGGGGATTGAGATCGCAAATTGAATATGTGCCCCAACTGGGAATCAAACCTTGACCTCCTGGTTCATAGGTCGATGCTCAACCACTAAGCCATATCAGCTGGGCTGTAAATTATTAACTAACAGAGAAATGGTATTAAGTAAAATAGTGGAATAAAATATGTAAAAAAGTTTCCGAGGTTGTGAAAAGAAAAGGATTTAATATGCAAAAAGTTTACTCATGCATAAGTTTGAAGAATAGCCTCTCTCAGTGAATGAAAGAGTGGGAGTGAGCCTAAGCTGAGACTTCATTATGATTAAGGATAGGAATCACTTCCATATGTATTGAACATTGTTATGTTCTCAATGTGTGTGTCTTCTCCAAATTTGCATGTTGAAATTCTAGCTCCCAAAGGTGATGGTATTAGGAATTGGGGGTTTGGGGAGGTGTTTAGGTCAGTAGGGTGGAGCCCACACAAATCAGGTCAGTGTTCTTATTAAAAGAGACCTTCCATCATGTGAGGACACAGCCAGAAGGGGCCAGCTATGACCCAGGCAGAGGGATTTTCCCAATCATGCTCCTACCCTGATCTGGAATTCCAACCTCCAGACCTGTGAGACATATGTGTCTGCTGTTTATAAGCTACCCTGTCTGTGGTCTTCTGTTGCAGCAGCCTGAGTAGATGAAGACAAACATCAGGCTCCCCGGGGATGTCCATGATCCTGTACTGCACAGCCTCCTGGGCAGAGCCTCCTGGCTCATCCTGGATCCCCTCCTTCTCTTCTCTCCCTAAGGCTATAAGAACTCAATCCAACCTGAGTATTCTAATGGCCAGAACCCCTTTTCTTTCTTTCCTCAGGATTTTATCATTGGGAAACTGGATATAAACAGTGCTTATTTTGTGGGGCTGTCAGACCCAGAGGGGAACAGAGCATGGCAATGGGTTGATCAGACACCATACAATGCAAGTGCCGCGTGAGTATAGAATTTGATAAAGGAATCCTCACTTTTGGATCATCAGGCATTTTCCAGTGTCCAAAGTATTGATATTAAAATAAAAATAGCTCAGGCTTCTTATAACTCTTGGCACTAAGTTAAATAATTTTATTTATTATCTCATGAATCATCACAAGAACCCTGTGGAGCATAGATTATTATGTTTTATTGTAGAGCTGAGGAGCTGAGTTTAGAGAGTTTAGATAACTTAGCGTATGTTATCTGGCATTAGTGCAATGGTCCTTAAAGCCAGGTCTATTTGACACCAAGGTTTGTATGTTTTATTTTTAATTTCCTCTTCCCCACTTAAATATGTTTCCATTGATTTCTGAGAGAGGAAGGGCGAGGGAGAGAGGGACAGAAACCTCAATGATGAGAGAGAATCATCGGTTGGCTCCCTCTCACACATTTCCAATGGCAACTGAACTCACAACCTGGGCATGTGCCCTGACTGGGAATCAAACTGTGACCCTGGTTCATGGGTCAATGCTCAATCACTGAGCCACACTAGTTGGGCTAAAGTCTGTGTTTTGACCATAAATTTGCATCTCTAAACAAACATAGTCATATTAATTAAAATCATAACTAATGGTTAATATTTATTATCTCTCATAAAGCAAATGAATGAAATTCTGATAATTTTACAATATCCCATATTTGTGTAGGTCTTTTAAAACTCTTAAGTACTTTAGTACATTATTATTTTTTAAAATTTATTTTTATATTTTTGTTAATAATCCCCTGAGGATATTTTTCCATTAATTTTTAGAGAGAGTGGGAAGGAGAGGGAGAGATAGTGAGTGAGAAACATTGATGTGAGAGATATGTATTGGTTGCCTCCCACACACACCTGGCCCTGCACTGAGCCAAACCGGCCAGGGCAGTACATTCCTATTAAAATAAATAAATATATATATATATATATATATATATATATATATATATATATTATTGATTTTTTACAGAGAGGAAGAGAGAGGCATAGAGCATTAGAAACGTCAATGAGAGAGAATCATTGATCAGCTGCTTTCTACACACCCCATACTGGGGGTGTGCCCGCAACCAAGATACATGCCCTTGACCTGAATCGAACTTGGGACCTTTCAGTCCGCAGTCTGACACTGAGCCAAACCGGTTTCAGCACATTCCTATTTTTGATCCTTATATCAACTGCATGAAATATATAGGTATCTTACTCTATTCTTTATTTTTTAGATATGTAAATAAAGGAAATTAAATAAGATGTCCAAGATAACAGGCATCAGAGCAGATTCATAGATTTTAACTATTTCTTTAGACTACAAAGCAGTTAGTTTAAAAAAAAAAAAAAGAAGAAGAAGAAAAGGAAAAGAAAAATAAAAGAAAAAAACTTCATTAGTACTTGGGACCAGAGTAAACTGTCATCATTAAGGAAGCCTATGGCTGACAGTTCCCTAGGTCAGGGCATGGACAAATAGAAGGGACTCTGGGATATCTGCTGGGAAGGTGTTTAATGCAGTAACATGACACCATACTGGATGGTGTGTAGGCACAGTTTTTAAGGGAAATGACAAAGACACAGATGGAGAAAAAAATAACTACTGCCTAATAAGCGGAAAAGAAATTATTGGGCACTTCTGCTTTGACTTTTGCACAGTTTAACCCCAGCCTCCTACCTCACTGTCTCTAACCCTTCTCACTATTAGAAGACACAACCATATTTTTCCCTTTCAGATTCTGGCACCAAGGTGAACCCAATAACCCTTTGGAGCGTTGTGTTTTCCTGAATCAACGTAAGAAAAGCTCATGGGGCTGGAATGATGTTGCTTGTAAGGAGCCTCAGAAGTCAATTTGCAAGATGAGGAAGATCTACTTATGAGTGAGAAATTCTCCATGAACATGCCACTGAATTAATAGCCATGAATAAAGAGTTAAATATGTTGCTTTGCTTTTCAGAATTCATGTGTAAGCTTGTGTAAGTGATCTTCAGAGAATTTTCCAATAGGCTGTCACCTATCAACTTATATAAAATAAGTGTACATGTTTATTCGTGTATTCATTCACACAGTGAACACCTGTGGAGCATTGTATAGTCTACTGTATACTGGAGAGCCTATTTGCAGACAAATGGAGGGAGCATGAGCCTCCTCCCCCAATTTTTGTCTAATTGTTAAGGGTTCATCAGGGGTGGGAAGAGCCTGGCCCACAGGCCAGATAAGGCCCCCTAAATCATCTGGTCTGGCCCTGCCAAGGCATTAGGGGGTGAGTTAATTAAATGTTCGGCCAAATACAGCAAGCTTATTGTTAAGGTGATAATTTTGTATGGCCCAAGAATGATGTTATAAATATCCACATGGCTATTGGCAGAAAAAAAGTCCCCACCCCACCCCTGAGTTACATACTGATATAATATGATGTGGCTCCTCCATTTATCTGGATTTATCTCTTTACTAGAGGCCTGATGCATGAAATTCCTGCAAGGGGCTCAGCCCCAACAGCCCTGGCTGCCTCGACCCTCACAGCCCCCAGCTACCTCAGCCCTTGCAGCCCCAGCCTCATCCAGAAGGTGATTTGGACAGGCGTTCCACTGTCCGGTCTAATTAGTATATTAATTGTTTACTATAGAATGGGCTGCTCAAAAGCAAAACAGTACCAACCATTCCATTCCATTTCTCTCAGACAGATTCATTATTTTCACTAAAAGCATATTACATATCATTTGGAATATAATGCACATCAATGGGAGATAAGTCTCAGCTTTGGCCCAGTAGGCTCCTGTGCTTCTTCACATTCTCTGTTTGGACTTGAACTGTCATTTAACATCAGAGCGCAGGCACAGATAACCAGAGATTGAGCATTGGATATTCAGAATTAGAGAATTGGGTCATTACTGGTATAAAAACGAAGCCACTTTAAAATGGAGTCAGAGCTGCCACCCCATTGAAACTGCCTTGCAGATCTTCTCAAACCTTTGGAATATTCAAACTTGCAAAATAACATTTGGACTGGGCCTAAAATAGCATTGTATCTCAAACAACTCTTAACAACAACAACAACACAACCCAAAACAACAACAAAGAAAGCTGATATAATGACTCCTGACTGAAAATTAAAGGAATTCTTTAGAATTAGCATCACTATGTTATTGTGTCTGCACCTATAGCAGTCCCTTGCTTCTATCTATACATTTGTTCCTATTACTTTCTCAAATACTCCTTGCCATAAACTCCTACTAAGAGCATGAAGTGTCTTCCTGAATCCATCAGTGCTTCCAGAATAGCCTTTGGATCCCAAAAAATGCTTTTTGCTCCTCGCTTTGACCATTTATTTTTAGGTTAACACTGGTGAGTTGACATAGATTTGTATTCATTAGGTTTTCTGGTATTTTTTTCTTTAAGTTTCATAATTTCCATGTATGGATTGCCACTCAAAATGACTCCTAGCATATTTGTGTCTCCCTTTTTACTAAAGTTCTTACACACAATTTTCTTTCTGAAACAATATAAAATATATAATATTTACAATAAGGCCTGCAATTCATGCTAATTATAGCAGTTATAATTAATCATAATAAAGCTGATTTTCTCTATGACTATCTCCATGTGGCCTGTAATTTTCTTGATTTAACAGTGTAGTTAATTATATTTACCACTCATTGCTTGCCTATATCACAATAGAGTTATTTTTTAAAATTTTTTATTGTTTAAAGTATTCCATATATCTCCTTTCTCCCCAGTGACATCTCCGCAGCCCATGCCCTCAACCCCCTACTGTTCGTGTTCTTTGGTTATGCTTCTATGCATATATGCAAGACCTTTGGTTGATCTCTTACCCTGCCCCCTATCTCCTACCATCCCTCTGAGGTTGGCCAGTCTGTTCGATGCTTCTGTGTCTCTGGGTCTATTTTTGTTCATCAGATTATGTTGTTCATTATATTCCACAAATGAGTGAGACCATGTAATATTTATCTTTCTCTGACTGGCTTATTTCACTTAGCATAATGTTCTCCAGATCCATCCATGCTGTTGCGAATGGTCAGAGTTCCTTCTTTTTCACAGCAGTGTAGTATTCCATTGTGTGGATGTAACAATGTTTTATAATCCAGTCATCTGCTGATGGGCAATTAGGTTGTTTCCAAATCTTAACTATTGTAAATTGTGCTGCTATGAACATAGGGATGCATATATCCTTTCTGAGTGGTGTTTCTGGTTTCTTGGGATATATTCCTAGAAGTGAGATTATTGGGTCAAATGGAAGTTCCATTTTTAATGTTTTGAGGAAACGCCACACTGTTCTCCACAATGGCTTCACCAGTCTGCATTCCCACCAGCAGTACAAGAGGGTTTCTTTTTCTCCCCGTCCTCACCAGCACTTGTCGTTTGTTGATTTGTTGATCATAGTCATTCTGACAGGTGTGAGATGGTACCTCACTGTTGTTTTGATTTGTATCTCTCAGATAATTAGTGACTTTGAGCATGTTTTCATATGTCTGCATGTCTCTTTCAAAACGTGTGTATTTAGGTCCTTTGCCCATGTTTTGATTGGATTGTTTCTCTTTTCTTTTGTTAAGTTGTATGAGTTCCCTATAAATTTTGGAGATTAAACACTTATCAGAGATAACATTGACAAATATGTTCTCTCATGTAGTTGGCTTTCTTGTTGTTTTGTTGATGGTTTCTTTTACTATGCAGAATCTTTTTATTTTAATATAGTCCTATTAGTTTATTTTCTCCTTAATTCCCATTGCCCTAGGAGTGGTGTCAGTAAAGATATTGCTTTGATAAATTTCTGATATTTTAGTGCTTATGGATTCTTCTAAGATTTTTATGGTTTCCCACCTTACATTTAAGTCCTTTATCCATTTTAAGTTTATTTTTGTGTCTGGTGTAAGGTGGTCTAGTTTCATTTTTTTTTGCATATATCTGACCAGTTTTCCCAGCACCATTTATTGAAGATACTATCTTGCCTCCACTGTGTACTCTTGCCTCCTTTGTCAAATAGTAAGTTAACATTATGGCTTATGTCAATTTCTGGGTTCTGTGTTCTCTTCCATTGGTCTATATGTCTGTTCTTGTGCCAGTACCAGACAGTTTTGTGGACAGTGGTTTTGCAGTATAGCTTGATATCTGGCCTTATTATTCCTCCAACTTTGCTCTTCTTTCTCAAGGTTGCTGCAGCTATTAGGGGTCTTTGTCAGATGCATTACCTTAAAAATTGTTATAGCTTTTTGGGATATTCACTCCTTTATCATTATGGAATGCCTGTCTTTATCCCTGATAGGTTTCTTGCTCTGAGGTCTGCTTTGGGTGAAATTACTATAGCTACAAACTTTTTATAATTAGATGTAGCTAATTATTATTTATAATTAGATATAGATAATTATTATTGTTTTTTAAACACTATTTTTAGAGCATTTATGTTTACAAGAAAATTGAGAAATACAGAGTGTTCCCGTGTGCCCCTTGTCCCACACATGCATAACCTCTCCCTTTATCAACAGCACTCACCAGAATGCTATATTTTTTCATCAAGGATGAATCTACATGGACATGTAAACAAAGTCCATAGTTTACATTAGGCTTCACTCTTAATGTTATACCAGTTAGTTTAGACAAATGTTTCATGACATGTACCCAAATTTATAATATCATACAGAGTATTTGCACTGCACTAAAAATCATCTGTGCTCTGCTAATTCATCGCCCCCCACCTCACTGTGCAAACATTTATCTCTTTTCTTGCCTTTTCCAGAATGTTATATCATTGAATGATACAGTATGAAGTTTAATGCTTCAGTGTTGTTGGTTGTAGCAGTCTGTTCAAATTTTTTATTGATTTAATTTTGAAAGATTGTATATTTCTAGAAATTTATTAATTTCTTTCAGTGTATTGCACAAAGGCTATTTTTTTTTAAGTTTTAAAAATATATTTTATTGATTTTCCACAGCGAGGAAGGGAGAGGGATAGAGAGCTAGGAATGTTGATGAGAGAGAAACATCGACCAGCTGCCTCCTGCACACCTCTACCGGGGATGTGCCCGCAACCAATGTACATGCCCTTGACCGAAATCGAACCTGGGACCTTTCAGTTCGCAGACCAACGCTCTATCCACTGAGCCAAACTGGTTTTGACACAAAGGCTAATTTTTAATAGAGTAACCCAATGATGGTTTCTTAGAAACAGATTTAATTCAAATTGCTGATTCACCAATCTTAGCCCCTTTAAAAGAGTTCAAGGCAAAACAGAAGATTATTTACTTTGACTCTATTAGTATATGATTTTATAGTCAATCAATACCAGTTACTCATATATATATATATATATATATATATATATATATATATATATATATATATATTGATTTTTTTTTTTAGACAGGAAGTGAGAGGGATAGAGAGTTAGAAACATCAATGAGAGAGAAACATCAATCAACTGCCTCTTGCACATCTCACAACCAAGGTACATACATGCTCTTGACTGGAATTGAACCTGGGACCTTCTGCATCTGTGCATTTCCAAGTCCCCATGTCCCGAGCCCCAGCTCATTACTGCATGCACTTCTGCAAGAAAGTCACCCTAACTCTCCGACCTGATGATAGACAGTCCAACCTCTACCCATAAAAATTTGGGTCCCCAGCATCTCCCCAGAAACTGTAATTCAGAGTAATCAGGAGCTTGTCTTCCTCTGGGTTATAAGAAGCAGCACACCCAGACACCTGCCACCAGCCTGATTCGTACATCTGTACCTCAGCTTTCAGTGCTTGTGCACGTCTCATTGCTCTTTTGACTTTCCTTCTTGTTTGTAGAACTTACACTCAGCCAGCTTTCCCATGGTTCTGGTTGATAGACATTTGGTCTTTTAGTTGTATTTTTGAAATT